AGTAACAGTGGTGGAGGGATTGGATGCTTATCAATCAAGCAGGCTGCTTTGTCCTGGATGGTGTCAAGCTTCTGGAGTGTTCCTGGAGCTACACTCATCCAGAATAGCTGCCAGTGACTAGTGGAGTTCCACAATGTTGGGACCGCAACGAATCAAGTTATACATGAACGATCTGGATGAAGGAACTGAGGGCATTGTTGCTAAATTTGCAGATGACACAAAGATAGGTGGATAGATTCATCACCCTCTGCCTGAAGAATACCTCTTCATCTCAGTTCTAAAGAGTACCCTTGAGTCCTAGTCTGTCTTACTAGTTGAAACACCTTCTCCATGTCAACTCTGTTCTGGCCTCTCCGTATTCTGTAGGTTTCAATGAGATTTTCCCCTCATCCTCTTAAACTCCATCTAGTACACATCTAGAATCCTCAACTGCTCCTCTATAACATGCTCTTCTGGACCACTCCAATGCCAGCACATACTTCCTTAGATATGGGACCCAAAACTGCTCATAATATTCCAAATGCAGTCTGACCAGAGCCTAATGCAGCCTCAGCAGTATACCTCTGCCTTCTTGAATGCTAACTTCCTGAACTAGGACTCCCCAGTCTCTTTGTGTTTCAGATTTCCAAAGTTTTCCCCAATTTAGAAAATAGCCTATGCCTCTATACTTCCTACCAAAATGCATAACTTCATGCTTTGCCACACTGTATTCCATATGCATCTCTTCCTCCTCTTCTAGCCTGTCCAAGTCCTTCCACAGTCTCCCCGCTTCCTCAACACTACCTGTCCCTCCACCTGTTTTTGTGTCATCTGCAAACTTAGACAATGTTCTCAGTTCCTTCGTCCAATGTGAATAGTTGTGGTTCCAACACTGGACCTTGCTGAACTCAACAGTCACTGGCTGCCATCCTGAAAAACACCCCTTAATACCTATTCTCTGCCTTCTGCCAGTCAGCTAATCCCCTATCCATGCCAGTACCTTGCCCCTAACACCATGGGCTCTTTTCTGTGTGGCACCTTGTTAAAGGCCTTCTGGAAATTCAAATATTTGCTTTTATTCAGTTGTCCTCTGCTGGCTTTTAAGACTTTCTAAACCTCTGGTTTCCCACTAAACTTCAAAACATTGCGAGCTTTTTCTTTTGATTTTATGCTGTTTCTGATTTCTCTTGTCAGTCAAAGCTGCCTTGTCCTTCTCTTAGTATGTTTCTTCTTTCTTGGGAATTTCTTCAATGTTTTCTGAATTACCCCAGAAACCCCTGCTATTAAAACTGCAAGTCTTATCCTAATAATCCAATGCTTCAATTGACATTTCCAGGCATTATATTCCATATTCTAACCACTTGTTGTGTGAGATTTTTCTTACATCACCATTGCTCCACTTGTACATCCCTAATTTCCAGCCATCTCATTCTTTCTTTTCTAAGTAGAATAGCTTCTCTCTGACTGCTCTGTACAGCCTGATCATGATTTTGAAAACTCTATCAGATCGCCTCTCAGCCTTCTTCTCTCCATGGATAACAGCCCCAGCTTATTCATAATCTATCCTCATAATGAAGTTCTTCATTCCTGGAACCATTCTTGTAGTAAATAGCTTCTGTACTTTCTGTCCAATGAGTTCCCATATTTCCCATAATGTGGCACCTTCAACTGTACACAATATTCAGTTGAGATCTAACATGTGTTTTGCACAAGTTCAACGTCACCTCCTTGTTCTTGTACTCTATGCCCCTATTGAAAACCAAGAACAATGTGCTTTATTAACTGCTCTTTCTATCTGTCCTGCTACCTTCAGTGATTGTGCACACATACACCCAGGTCCTCAGTTCCTGCACCCCCTTTAGAATTATGTTATATTGTATTTCAATGTTCTTCCAACCAAAGTACGTTATGTCACAATTATGTGCATTGAACCTCATCTGATAACCTATCTAACCACTCCACCAACTTGTCAATATCCTTCTGGAGTTCCACACTGTTATGCATAAACCTGGAAAGTGACCTTTCACACCAGGATCCAGATGAATAAAACATACCAGTGAAAGCAACGGTCCCAACACCAACACCTGCGGATCTTCAATGCAAACTTTACTCGAGCCCAAAAATATCCATTGACCATTACCCTCTGTGTCCTATCACTCAGCCAACTTTGTATCCACTTTGTTAAGGTCTTTTTATACCGTGATATAACTTTATTCATATATTTGTTGTATGGTACTGTATTAAACGCCTTCTGGAAATCTATAAATACCACATCAACAATGTTACGCCCATCAATTCTTTGTTACTTCTTTTGAAAAACTCCAGCAAGTTAATTAAACATGATTTCGTCTCTAGAGATCCGTGTTGACTCTTCCTAATCAATCCACCCTTCCCAATGTGAGTACTAATTCTATCATGAACATTTGCTTCTAGAACCACCAACAAAGTTAAACTAACTGGTTCTGTAATTGCTGGGATTATCCTTACAACTTTTCTTGAACAAAGCCGTAGCACAGCAGACTCAATGGCTGTACAGTTTCTTTCTGCTCCCACATTTTATGGTCTATTTCATGAGATGAGGGCGCTGCTGTCTGGGCCATTATTGCCCATCCCTAACTGCCCTTAAGGAGATGTTGGAGCTGCCTTCTTAAAACAGAGCTGTCTATTTGCTCTTCATCTGATAGGGAGGGTGTTTCAGGATTTTGACCCAGTGACAGTGAAACAGTGGTCGATATTTTCCATGTCTGGATAGTGAGTGGCTTGGAGGGGAACTTATAGGTGGTGGTGTTCCCTTGTATGTCTGTCTTCATGCTTCTAGATGCTGTCTAAGAAGCCTGGCTGTAACCGGTATACATTGCTATTACTAAGCATGAGTGGTGGTGGGGACGGATGTTGGTGGATATGGTACCAATTAAGGGGGCTGCTTTGTTTTGAATGGCATCAAAGTTCTTGAATGTTGTTGGAGCTGCACTCATTCTTGAGATTTGGGAGTATTTCATTACACAACTGACTTGAGCCTTGTAAATGGTGGAAAGGGATATGGGGAGTCAGGAGGCGAGTTACTCACTACAGGATTCCTAGACTCTGACCTGCTCTTGTAGCCACAGTATTTAGATTGCGTGTCCAATTCAGTTTCTGGTCAATGGTAATCCCCACAATATTGATAGTGGGGGATTCAGCAATGGTAGTGTCACTGAATGTCAGGGGGCAATGGTTAGATTCTCTCTTGTAGGGTGGTCATTGCCTGGTACTTGTGTGACACAAATGTCACTTGCCACTCATTAGTCTAAACCTGGATATTGTCCAGGTCTCGCCGTATTTGGACACAGGCTGCTTTAGCACCTGATGAATCACAAATGGTGCTGAATATTGTGCAATCATCAGTGAATATTCCCACTTCTGACATCATGATGGAAGACAAGTCATTGATGATGCAGCTGAAGATGACTGGGCCTAAGACACTGCCCTGAGGAAACTCTGCCAATGTGTCCTGAGATGACCAATCTCCAACAACCACCACCATCTCAAAAGCAAAATGCTGCAGAAGTCATATTGGACTCAAAATGTTAATTCTGTTTCTTTTTCTACAGATACTACGAGACCTGCTCTGTTTCTCAGGCAGTTTCTGTGTTTGAACCACAAACATCATCTTTTCAGCCAGCTATGACTTCAACCAGTGGAGGGTATTCCCCTGATTCTCATTAAATCCTTGATGCTACACTTAGTCAAATGCAGCACTAATGCCAAGGGCAATCACACTCTCCTCACCTCTGGAATTCAATTCTTAGCCCATGCTTAAACTAAGGCTATAATGAGTTCAGCAGATGAGTGGCTCTGACAGAACCCAAACTGTGTGTTCATTAGCAAGATATTGTAAAGCAAGTGCAACTTGATAGCACTTTCCATCAGGCATTCCATCACTGGATTTATGATCAAAAACCAGCTGATGAGGTGGTAATTTGCCGAGTTGGATCTGTCCAGTTTTTTGTGTTCAGGACATATCTGGGCAATTTTCCATCTTGTCAGGTAGATGCTAATGTTGCACCTGCATTGGAACAGCTTGGCCAGGGCATGTTGTGGAGTAAAAGTCTTCAGTACTATTGCTAGAATGTTTTCAGGGCCCATAGCATTTGCAGTATCCAGTGCCTCCAACTGTTTCTTGATATTATGTGGAGTGAATCGAACCTGTGATGACTGGGACCTCTGCAGGTGGCCGAGATTAATCCACTTGGCACTTCTCGCTGAAGACTCTGCCAATGTTTCAGCCTTATCTTTTGTATTGATATGCTGGGCTACCCTATTACTGAGGATGGGGATGTTTGTGCAGCCTTCTCCTCCAGTGAACTGTTTAATTGTCCACCACAGTCATAACTTGATGTGGCAGGACCGCAGAACTTAGATTTGATCCATTGGTTGTGGAATCGCTAAGCTCTGTTGATCACTTGCTCATTATGCGATTTGGCAAACAGGTGGTCCGGATTTGTAACTTCACTAGGTTGATGTTTCATTTTTAGCTATTTGTGTTCGGTTATCGAAGTGGGGCCAGTAGTAAAACCTGTGGTATAACAGCTCCAACAACCATTACCGTAACATTTTGCTACTATCCATGCTGTTACATCTTTTTTTGAGAACAAGCTTCGCAACACACCTTATGAAACAGCTTAGAAATATCTAAATTTGTCAGAGTTAAGCACCTTGTCCTGCTTATTGTAAATTAGTTTATGCTTTTCTACTGCTCACTAATTATACTAAATTTTGGAATTTAAAATTTGGGAGAATTTTTTTGTTGTCCGAAATGAATTGGCAGCTAATTCAGCACACAGTGACTGCCCTGATGTATAAATGAAAGCAGATCAATTCTTGATTTTGCAGGGAAAGGGAAAAACAGCAGGCACAAGAATAATAAGAATGGTCAAATCTGGTCCTAAATGATTGAATGAAACTAATGTCCTAAATGTTTTTAGTGGCTGTTGTGCCCTTCATATTACCTGTACTAAACATAATTATTTGTCAAAACTCACCTCCTGGCCAGCAGGGCACTCATTTCTTCCATCAGACCAGTACCTCCTATAGAAATTGGAGCTCCATTACTCCGTGAGGACTCCGATTTAGGAGTAGACACTGAACCAATGCTGCCCATTACAGAACTTGAGCCTTCGTCAGCCTGAAAAACAATAAAAACAGTGACCATTTTGCTTAAAATCAGGAATTTAAATCACACTGTCACCAGTACAACCTATATACTTTTGTTTTATAACTATATCTTTCAGATTGGTAAGATAGTTTCTTTAAATCTAGGATTAAAGGAAGGTGTCTTTCGGACAGAGAAAGGGGCAATCAATATCAGGTCGTAAACAGTTGAGCTGAGCCATGCCTCTTTCTTTCGAGATAAACGAAAGGAATGATCAGAGAAAACTATCTAGCGCGTTTAATTGTGTTATGTGGCATCATCACTGTGCAAAATGGGGCAGACTTTGCACTAGCAACTCAACACTGGGCATCCATGAGGTGCTGTGGGCCATCAACAACAGCAGAATTGTATTCCAGCACAATCTGTAACCTCATGACCCGGCATATCTCCCACTCAACCAGTACTATCAACCCAGGTTCAATGGAGAGTGCAGGAGGGCATGCCAGGAGCAGCACCAGGCATACCTGAAGATGAGGTATCAACCTGATGAAGCCACCAAACAGGATTACTTGCACGCCAAACAGCACAAGCAGCAAGTGATAGACAGAGCTAAGCAATCCCACAACCAACGGATCAGATCTAAGCTCTGCAGTCATGCCACATCCAGTCGTGAATGGTGGTGGACAATTAAACAACTCCTTGGAAGAGGAGGCTCCACAAATATCCCCATCCTCAATGATGGAAGAGCCTAGCACATCAGTGCAAAAGATAAGGCTGAAGCTTTCGCAGCAATCTTCAGCCAGAAGTGCCGAGTGGATGGTCCATCTCGGCCTCCTCCAGTCATCCCAGCATTATAGATACCAGTCTTCAGCCAATTCAATTCACTCCACATGATATCAAGAAATGGTTGGAGATACTGGATACTACAAAGGCTATGGGCCCTGACAACATTCCGGTAATAGTACTGAAGGCTTGTGCTCCAGAACTTGCCGCTCCCTTAGCCAAGCTGTCCCAGTACAGTTACAACATTGACATCTACCCAACAATGTGGAAAATTGCCCAAGTATGTCCTGTACACAAAAAGCAGGACAAATCCAACCCAACCAATTACTGCCCATCAGTCTACCAACAGTCATCAGTAAAGAGACAGAGAGTTCATCAACAGTGCTATCAAGCAGCACCTGCTTAGCAATGCCCAGTTTGGGTTCTGCCAGGGCCACTCAGCTCCTGACCTCATTACAACCTTGGTCCAAACATGGACAAAAAAGCTGACTTCCAGAGGTGAGGTGAGAGTGACAGCCCTTGCCATAAAGGCTGTATTCGACCCAGTGTGGCATCAAGGTGCCCTAGCAAAACTGGAATCAACGGGTATCACAGGGCAAACGCTCTGGTGGTTGGAGTCATACCTTACACATAGGAAGATGGTCATGGTTGTGGGAGGTCAATCATCTCAGCTCCAGGACCTCTTTGCAGGAGTTCCTCAAGGTAGTTCTTAGGCCCAACCATCTTCAGCTGTTTCATCAATGATCCTCCCTCCAATCTAAGGTCAGAAGTGGGGATGTTTGCCGATAATTGCACAATGTTCAGCACCATTTGCAACTCCTCAGATACTGAAGCAGTCCATGTTCAAATCCAAAATATCCAGGCTTAGGATGACAAGTGGCAAGTAACTTTTGCGCCACATAAATGCCAGGCTATGACCATCACCAATAAGAGACAATCTAACTACCACCCCTTGGCATTCAACAGTGTTACCATCACCGAATCCCCCACTATCAACATCCTGGGTGTTATCACCACATAAACACAGTGGCTACAACAGCGGGTCAGAGGCTAGGAATACTGTGGTGAGCAACTCAACTCCTGACTCCTCAAAGCCTGTCCACCATCTACAAGGCACAAGTCAGGAGTTTGATGGAATACTCCCCACTTGCCTGGATGAGTGCAGCCACAACATCAAGAAGCTTGACAGCAACCAGGACAAAGCAGTCTGCTTGATTGGCGCCACATCTACTCCGTCCACCACGGATGCTCAGTAGCAGTAGTGTGTACTATCTACAAGATGCACTGCAGAAATTCATCAAAGATCCTCCGACAGCACCTTCCAAACTGACGACCACTTCCATCTCAAAGGACAAGGGCAGCAAATATATAGGAACACTGCCTCCTTCAAGTTCCCCTCCAAGTCACTCACCATCCTGACTTGGAAATATATCACTGTTCCTTCAGTGTATCTGGGTCAAAATCATGGAATTCCCTTCCTGATGGCATTGTGGGTCAACCTACAGCTGGTGGACTGCAGTGGTTCAAGATGGCAGCTCACCACCACCTTCTCAAGGGCAACTAGGGACCAGCTGCCAAATGCTGGCCAGCCAGTGATGCCCACATCCCACAAATGAATTTTAAAAAATTGGAAACATGGTGAACGTATTTTTCATTGCCATGAAGGAGACAGTGGAAGTCATTTTGAGATCAGGTTGCAGACATCCCTATAAACTCAAAGATCTATAGCTAAATGCAAGGAGACAAAAAGGTAGATGTTAGCCAGGCCCACACCTTAAGCAGAGAAAATGCTGACAATGTACTGGTAGAAGTCCGAATACCAAATCTGTGAAGTGGTCAAACAAATATGGAGAGTCTGCCCGGTTGGAGGGAGGGAAAGAGGTAGGAAATACCAAGAACTTTCTCACAATGAATGATGGTGTTAGGAAAGGAAATTAATAGGTCTCAAACATGAACAGGAGTCAAGGGGAGATAGTGGCATAGTAATAATGTCACTGATTAGTAATCCAAAATCCCAGACATGTCCACCATGGCAGATGGTGAAATTAGCATTCAGTAAAGAACATTAAGATGAAAAGCTGGTATAAAATGGTGACCATGTAATTGCTGTTGATTGTTGCAAAAATGCATTTGGTTCATCAATACCATTTATGGATGGAAATCTGCCATTCTTACCTGGTCGGACCAACATGTGATTCCTGATCCACAGCAATGTGGTTGACTGCCAACCAACCTCTGACAGGGTGTAGCCAGCCACTTGGTTGTACCAAACTGGTACAAAGAAAGGACAGAAACTGGAGATATGAATTAGCATCAACATCAGTACTGGAAATACTAATGGCAAGCACAGGCCTGTCAATTCTGCAAAGTCATTCTTACTAACATCTGGGGCCTGTGCGCAAAACAATGTCTCAACAACATAATCAGCTTTTCTGGTGCATCATGATCCCACCAGAAGGACAGCCCCACCAGAGGTGGCAGCACGACGGTACACTGTCAGGAAAGAATTGCTCTAGGAGTCCTTAACATTCATTCCAGTCCCATGAAGCCTTATATCATCATGTCAAACATGGGCAAACAAACCTCTTGCTGATTACCACTTAATGCACCTCCTTGGCTGATGAATCAATACTCCTCATATTCAACATCTTATGGAGGAAGCGCCAAGGGACAGAATATATTCAAGATGGGGAACTTGAACATCCACTACCAAGAGTGTCTCAGTAGCACCAGTACTAACCAAGTGTTAAAAGGTGTAGCTACAATACTGGATTTGTAGCAGGTAGTCAGGGAACCAACAAGGAAATATTGATTTGGCCTTGTGCTCATAAATGTACTTTGTCACACATGCAGCCATGATCCATGATGATATCAGTAAAATTGACAACTGCAGGTCCAGTCTCCTCCTTGAGGTTATCTTCTATCGTGTTGGACGGCACTACCATTGTATTAAATGGGACAAACTTCGAACAGATCAAATAATGCAAAATGGACCATTCATGAGGCGCTGTGGGCCATGAAAAGCAGCAAAATTATATTCAAACACAATCTGTAACCACAAGACTCAGCATAATCCCACTTTCTACTACTGCAAGAATACAGGAGATTAAATCTGGATGTTTCAGGTCAGGTCCTGATGAAGGGTCCCAATCCGAAACTTTGACTCTCCTGCTCCTTTGATGCTGCCTGACCTGCTGTGTTCCTCCAGCGCCACACTGTATTGACTCTGACTCCAGCATCAGCAGTTCTTGCTATTTCCGGAGATCAAATCTTGTTCAGCAAAGAATGCAGGAAAGCATGCCAGGGGCAGCAGGCATGTCTAAAAATGAGGTGTCAACCTGGTGAAACTACGAAATAGGATTACTTGCATGCTGAACAGCGAAAACAGCAATCAATAGACAGGGCTAAACGATTCCACAATCAACAGACAGATATATAGTCCTGCTGCATCTAATTGTGGTGGACAAGTAAACAACTAACAGCAGGTGAAGGATACATAAATATTTCAGCGATAATAGGGTCTAGGCCCGAAACGTCAGCTTTCCTGCTCCTCTGATGCTGCTTGGCCTGCTGTGTTCATCCAGCTCTACACCTTGTTATCTCTGATACATAAATGTTCCTGTTGTCAATGCTTCACAAGCTCAGAACAAAGCAAAAGGCAAAGCTGAAGCATTCAAATCTATCTTCAGGCAGATCCAAGCAATAATCCATTTCAGCCTCCTTCTGATCATAGATACATAGAAAGCTAGAGCATCATAGTTACCAGTTGTCAGCCAATTTGATTCACTTTACACGATATGAAAAAACAGCCAAAGACACTGGATACTGCAAAGACTATGGGCCCGGGAATATTCTGGCAATAGTCCTGAAGTTTTGTGCTCTAGCACTAGCTGTAGTCTTATCCAAACTGTTCCAGTGCAACTGCAACACTGGGACTTTCCTGGCAATGTAGAAAATTGCACTGGTGTGCCCTGTACACAAAAAGTAAGACAAATCAGCCTGGCCAATTACCAATCATTCTAGTCTAGATCAGTAAGTAATGGAACGGGTCATCTATACAGCTATCAAGCAGCAGTTGCAAATGAATGAACTGCTCAGTGATGTTTGGTTTGGCTTTCACCACAGCCACTTGGCTCCTGACCTCCTTACAGACTTGGTCCAAACCTGGACAAAAGACCAAGGATCAGAGCTGGGGCCACAATTATTTACAATATACAATGACTTGGATGAGAAAAGTGAATGTACTATAGACAAGTTTGAAGATGACACAAAGATAGGTGGGAAAGCCAAAGGTGAAGATGACACAAAGTGTCAGCAGTAGGAGATAGGTTAAGCAAGTGGACAAAAACTCAACAGATGGAATATAATGTGGAGAAATGCAAGGTGAAATGCAAGGCACTTTGGCAGGAAGAATAGAGGAGCTGAATACTATTTAAGTTAAAAAGCTTCAGAATACAGGGATTTGGGAGTCCTCAACCATGAATTACAAAAAGCTAGAGGAGTTTCTTCTCTCAGAGAATAGTAAATTTGTGGAATCCTTTATTGCAGATGGCTGTTGAGGCTTGATCATTAAGCATATTCAAAGCTGAGACAGATTTTTAATCAATATGGGAATCAATGGTTTTGGGGAAAGGGAAGGAAAGTCAAATTGAGGATTATCAGATCAGCCACGATTTCATTCAATGGGGGAGACTTGATGGACTGAAAAATCGACTTCCACTGCTACGTCTTACGGCTAACCTCAGAGGTGAGGTGACAGTGACTGCCCTAGACACCACGGCAGCATTCGAGTACGTGTAGCATCAAGGAGACCTAGCAAAACTGGAGTCAATAGGAATTGAGGGAAAATTCTCCACTGGTTGTAATTATACCACACACAAAGGAAAATAGTTGAGGTTCTCGGAGCTCAATCGTCTTAGCCCTAGTATATCTCTGCAGGAGCTCCTCAGGGTAGTGTCCAAGGTCCAACCATCTTAAGCTGCTTCATCAATAACTATCCCTTCATCGTAAGGTCAGAAATGGGGATGTTTGCTGATAGTTACACAATGTTCAGTAACATTCGCAACTCCTTAGATACTGAAACAGTCCATGCCCAAATGCAGCAAGGTCTGAGCAACGTCCAGGCTGAAAAGTCACAAGTAACATTTGTGCCACTCAAGTTCCAGGCAATGACCATCTCCAAAGAGAGAATCTGGCGATCTCCCTTTGACATTCAATGTCATTACACTGAATCCACCATATTAACATTCTAGGGGCTTACCACTCATTAGAAATTGAAATCAACCAGCCATTTAAATACGGCAGCTATAAGATCAGGTCAGATTCTAGGTATTTTGTGCTGAATAATTCACTTCCTGTTTCCCCATACCCTGTACACCAACTACAAGGTACAAGTCAGGAGGGTGATGGAATTCTCTCATGTGCCTAGATTAATGCCGTACCTACAACATTTGATTGGCACTTCATCCACCTCCTTCAACTCAACACTAACACACAGTGGGAGCATCATTTACTAGATGCGCTGCAGTACATCACTGAGACTCTTCTCAAAGCACAAAAACATCCATGATCTCGACCATACAAAGAACAATGGCAGCAGATGCACAGAAACACCAAAATCTGCAAGTGCTCTTTCAAGCCACACACCACACTGATTTGGAAATATAGTGAGTGTGAAGGAACAGTGATACATCAAAATCTTAGAATACCCTTCTTTACAGCTCTGTGGGCAATGTGGATGCCAGTGTTGTAACTATATTGGAACAGCCTAGCTAGGGGTGTGGCAGTTGTGGAGCACAAGTCTTCAGACTATTGCTAGAATATTGCTAGGGGCCATAGTCTTCGCAGTGTTCAGTGCCTCCTAACATTTTTTGATATCATGTGGAGCCAATGAAATTGGCCGACAACTAGCATCTGTGACAAAAAACCCCTGTTCTGAGGAAGAGTCACCGGACCCGAAACGTTAACTCTGTTTTCTCCTCCACAGATGCTGCCAGACCTGCTGAGCTTTTCCAGCAACTTTGTTTTTGTTCCTGATTTACAGCATTCGCAGTTCTTCTGGCTTTTTTTTTTTACTAGCATCTGTGATGCTGGGGACCACTGGAGGAGACCAAGATGGATTGTCAACTTAGCAGTTCTGGCTGAAGATTGCTGCCAGGGCTTCAGCTTTATCTTTTGCAATGATGCATTGGGCTCTGCCATCATTGAGAATGGGGACATTTGTGGAGTCCCCTCCTCTAGTAAGTTGTTTAATTGTCCACCACCATTGACAACTGAATATGACAGGACTGCAGAGCTGAGATCTGATTCATTGGTTATGGGATTGCTTAGCTCTGTTCATCACTTGGTGTTTATGGAGGTAGTTCCATTTGGTAGTTTCACCAGGTTGACACCTCACTTTTAGACATAATCTGGTGCGGCTCCTGGCAACCCCTCCTGCGCAGGGTTGATTCCCTGGTTTAAATGATAATAAAACAAATGATTTACTACAAAAATGCAGCTCATTGTCACATACTCCAGAGCAATTAAAGATTAGCATTAAATGCTGATGCCTAGCCATTGACCTCCACATTCTGTTAATGAATTGGAGATAAATTCTTGAGAGCTGTGAATCATTTTGGGTTAGGTCCAGATGTCTACTTAAGACACTGAATAATGTAACAAAATTGTAGCTTTTCATTGTTATTGGAAATTGAAAAGGGTACATTCTGATCTTTAAACTATAAATTACCCACAAAAAGAAAATAGTGTTTAGTTAACTGTAGCTGTTTGTTTAGTCATTTGACAAAGAAGTTGTTTTAAAACATGAAAAGTTGTTGGATGTCCTTCTTTCAGACAATAACTGCAGTACATATTGCTCTTTAGACAATTCACAGTCTCTATGGAGGACGTAACAATGTCAACACAGTGATGAAGAAGGCATTTGGCATGCTTGCCTTCATGGGTCAGAGCACAAGAGTACAGGAGTTGGTACGTCATGTTACGGCTGTACAAGACATTGGTAAGGCCACATTTGGAGTACCATGTTCAATTCTGGTCACTCTGCTATAAGAAGGATGTTATTAAACTGGAAAAGGTGCAGAAAAGATCTACAAGGATGTTACTGAGATTGGATGGTTTGAATTATAAGGAGATAGGCTGGGACTTTTTTCCCTGGAGCGTAGGAGGCTGCGGGGTGACCTTGTACAGGTTTATAAAATCATGAGGGGCATCGATAAGGTGAACAGCCAAGGTCTTCCCCCAGGATAGAGGAGTCCAAAACTAAGGGCATAGGTTTAAGGTGAGAGGGGAAAGGTATAAAAGGGACCCGAGGGGCAACATTTTCCACAGAAGGTGGTGTGTATATAGAATGAGCTGCCAGAGGAAGTAGTGAGTACAATTATGACATTTAGGGCAGGTACATGGATAGGAAAGGTTTACAGGGATATGGGCCTAATGCAGGAAAATAGGACAGTTTAGTTTAGGACAAGTTGGGCCAAAGGGCCTGTTTCCATGCTGTATGGTTTATGACAGAGGCACAAGATGTTAGCAGCGTCCTCTTATACTATTTACTCCAACTGGTAAAAACCAAGCCATACAGTCTTTCCTCAGCCAATTAGGCCACTGAATCAAGATTTTACCTACAGTCATCTCTCACTCTAAACCCAGAGAAAGATTGTCAGGTAAGATTCACATTATTTTTTAAATTTCCCATTAAGATAAAATCTCCAAAAAAAAAGGAAGATTTTGAAACATACATCATGACATCAGGGTAGACCAAAATGCCTTACCTCTAACTAAGTGCCTTATAAATTATGGCCACTGCTATAATGAAGGAAGTACAACATCTACAGTGCCAGGAGCAAAGTGTCACAAATAACACAGTCATACATGATCAGACAATTACTTTTATTTATTTAAACAAAAACAAAATTGTGTGGATGCTGGAGGTCTGAAGTGCAAAATAGAATGTGCTGGAGAAACTCAGCTAGTTTGGCAGCATCTGTGGAAAGACAAGCGGAGTTAATGTTTCATGTTCAATATGATTCTTTGAAACTGTTTTTCTAGGACTTTGTCTTTTTTTTTAAATTTATGTTAGTTAAGGTATTTAGTCCTATATATTAACCAAGCTGAAAGGAAGAACTGCCCTGCTTAACTTCAAATAATAATGAGATTTTTCACATCCCTGACTGTCAAGATGGGATCTTAGTTTTTCATCTGATCTGTAAAATGGCATGAATGATTGTGCAACAATCTCTCAGCACTATACTGCAGTATCAGGCTGGATTACTTTCCTCAGGCATTTCTTCATTTGCTGAGCACTACCCAGACAAAATTATTGGATTCATTGTCATGAATGATCAAGATTGAAAACATTAACTCTTCCATAAACAGTTATCTACTTTTGTTTCAGAGTTTCTGCATCTGCAGCATTTTGAACAACAGCAGAATATACTGTTTAATACACGAGTTGGATTTAGATTTGAGAATTAACGCTCTATGACTTGGACTTACCCGGGCCACTTTTCTGAGTTTTGCCCCAGCCAATGCAGCTGCTAATCCTGTCAATGGACGATCATCTTCAGCCAAGGATGATGAAAAACCTGAGGAGGGAAGAGGTGGGGCAGGAGGAAGAGGTGGGGCAGGAGGTAAGGTTTGCCCTGGAAGTGGTGGTGGTCCAGGTGGAGGAGGTGGTCCTGATACTGGCAGTGGAGGTGCAGGTGGTGGAACTGGTGGCGGTGGTGGTCCTGATGTCGGTAGCTGTGGTGGCCCAGGAGGAAGAGGGGGTGCAGGTGGAGGGGCTGGTGGTCCTTGTACACCGTCGCTTGTTGGGGCAATACCTGTGTTGATAGAATAAAATAATCAGATCAAATGTACCACACCTGAAACAAAATTGTTTTGTGTTTGTATGTTCCTTGTGAAAGCAAATAAAAAAAATAACTATCATAACTCCACCTTTAAGAAATTAAGATCTTTCTCATTACTCAACTCAGTATTTTGCACATAGGAATTGGTTCCATTATTAAAATGGAATTTTTGTGAGGCTGCCCCCACATTCACCAAAGGATATCAGTTTCAAACAGGATTGGGCAAGGTGAGGACCCTGGGACAGGTGGTTAACACCACCAAGAGGTGCAGGTGAAGTGAGGATGCTGAGGCAAGCAGTCAACATCACAGTGAGGAGTGGGCAAGATGGGGACTTCATGCTAAGGTGTAAGGAATTAAATTAAAAATTAGAGAAATTCAGCAGATCTGGCAGCATCTGGGGAACACAATTATAACTGAGGTAAGCAAAGTCAACCAGACACAAGGGGGAGGCAATGGCCTCGTGGTATTATTGCTGGACTGTTAATCCACAGGCCCAGGTGATGTTCTGGGGACTTGGTTTCAAATCCTGTCATGGCAGATGGTGGAATTTGAATTCAATAAATATCTGGAATTAGGAATCCAATGATGACCGTGAATCCATTGTCGATTGTTGGATAAACACATCTGGCTCACTAACGTCCTTTAGGGAAGGAAACTTCCACCCTTACCTGGTCTGGCCTACATGTGACTCTAGACCCACAATAATGTGGCTGACTCTTAACTGCCCTCTGGGCAATAAATGCTGGTCTAGCTAGTGACGCCCTCATCCCATGAATGAATAAAGGAAAAAAAAGAATAATAATATTTGACTTGTAACATTAACTGTTTTTTCTCTCCACAGATGCTGCCAGGCCTGCCAAGATTTTTCCAGCACTCTCTGATTTATATTTCCGTTTTCCAGCATCTGCAGTACTTTGCTTTTATGTAAGATTAGATCCCTGGTATTTGTTATTCTTTAAACTACAAAAGTAATCTTCATGGATAGTACATACATTGAAGTGACCGAGAGTGCTCAGGCAGCAAGTAGAATAAACGCACCAAACAGGTGCAGCATGAGTACCCTCTCTATTGGATTTTCTGTCTTCGAAACCACTGCGGGAGAGATGGCTTCTCAGGAGAATGCAGTGAGAGCTAGTCTGTAGCATCGGCAGTGGTCAGTGCAAAGGACTGAGGGCAGATTTAGGGGGCAGAGGAGAGTGGGAGAGAAGAGGAGGAGAAAAGAACAGTGATTGGGCATTCTATCATAAAGCGAACAGACAACCATTTCTTCAGTGTCGCTTCTCTAGTGCCAGGGTCAAGGGTGTCACTGAGCAGCTACAGGACATTCTGAAGGTTGTGAACAACCAGAGATTGTGTTCCATGTTGGTTCCAACAACATAGGTAAAAAGAAGGATGGAATCCTGCAGCAGAATATAGTGAGTTAGGAAATAAATTGAAAAGCAGGACTTCGGGGTAGCAATCTCAGGGCTCCTCTCAATACTGTTGCACATGTGTGGTCCCTTTAAAAGATCATCTGCTTTTTCTATGCTTAGAGATTTAAAATGGACATCTGTGAGCAGCAGCTTGAACATTTGCAAGCACATGGAGAGCACCCGAATTGACACATTTATTCCAAAAGGCCGTACAGTTAGCAGGCCAAAGGGCAGTTTTTTCCAAGACAAGAGGCTTTTGAATTTAGCCAATCAATTTGAACCAGGTACTTAGATACCAAAAACCTATTAAATTTAAGTCTGATGGCTTTGACAACATAGGACCAATCCTATTGTAAGAAATATTGATATGTCTTCAAGGGTATAAAAAGAAGGGGGCAACTGGACAAAGACCCCAGAGCTAGCTGCAATCCGCCAGAGCAAAACAGCCCTCAGCTCTCGAGAGAATCGCTGGCTCTCACAACCTCCACTATGTCTTAGGGAAAGCACCATCTAAATAACAACAGTACCAATGGTATAACTAGTTAATATTCCTGACAGAAGAATCGACAGAGAAGGCACTGAACATTCCGGAAGATACGTAGCCTGGCTGTAATTTCGAGAGACTAAACATAGAACATCGAACATTACAGCGCAGTACAGGCCCTTCGGCCCTCGATGTTGCGCCGACCTGTGAAACCAATCTGAAGTCCATCTAACCTAAACTATTCCATTATCATCCATATGTTTATCCAATGACCATTTAAATGCCCTTAAAGTTGGCAAGTCTACTACTTTTGCAGGCAGGGCATTCCACGCCCTTACTACTCTCTGAGTAAAGAACCTACCTCTGACATCTGTCCTATATCTATCACCCCTCAATTTAAAGCTATGTCCCCTCGTGCTAGCCATCACCATCCGAGGAAAAAGGCTCTCACTGTTCACCCTATCTAATCCTCTGATCATCTTGTATGTCTCTATCAAGTCACCTCTCAACCTTCTTCTAACAAAAACAGCCTCAAGACCCTCAGCCTTTCCTCATCAGACCTTCCCTCCATACCAGGCAACATCCTGGTAAATCTCCTCTGCACCCTTTCCAATGCTTCCACATCCTTCCTATAATGCGGTGACCAGAACTGTACGCAATACTCCAAGTGCAGCCGCACCAGAGTTTTGTACAGCTGCAACATGACCTCATGGCTCCGAAACTCAATCCCTCTACCAATAAAACCTAACATACCATACGCCTTCTTAACAACGCTATCAACCTGGGTGGCAACTTTCAGTGATCTATGCACATGGACACCGAGATCTCTCTGCTCATCCACACTACCAAGAATCTTACCATTAGCCCTTTTTCATAGAAGTGGGACTTGTATTTATTGGAACAGCATACCATTTGATTCTTGCTTTATTCAGGAATAGTTAGAAGGGATTTACTCAGTTTGTTAATAGTTTAGTTAATTTGCTCACTGTTAGATAAATAAATTGTTACTTGTTGATTTTAAAGTGAGTGTTAGGGATTTATTTTATTTAACCACTAGAAGTTGCTGAAAAGCAGGTTACACCACTTTGCAAACTCCTTTTACAGTTTATAGGGCGAGGTGCTCCTCTTTTAGTTCTCAGGGGGTGGGGGGGTCAACTTCTGCTTTGTAACAATACCAATGGGTAGCGAGATTAGAAATAGGAGAATAGACTGAATTATTCTTTGGCTGTGGTGATGGTGTAGGATATAGGGATTTAGATTCTTCAAGCATTGGGATCAGTTCTGGGGAAGTCAGGACCTGTACATGCCAGTCAGCACAACTGATAGTCTCAAAGGAGTGTTTGTCAGTACCGTGAAGCAGGGTTTAATTGGAAAGGGGATGGGAACCTAAGTGGAGAAACAATGTGAGAAAAATAAAGATGGAAATGAAGGATATTAAAGTCAAAAACAAAAGTGGAAGGCAAAAGAAACAGGAGTTAGCAGTAAATTTAACCTTTAAGAAGTGAAAGGACAGGGAATACTCAGCCGGTGGAAGGATACTACGAAGCTCACAGGGATAGAGGGATCTTAGAGTGGTGTTCACAGATCCCTGAAGGCGGCAGGGCAGGTTAATAGGGTAATAGGGTAATTAAGATGGAGTACCGTACACATGCCTTTATTAGTGTGGCATAGATTACAAGAGCAGGAAGCTTATGTGGGAGCTATACAAAATTTTGGATATGCCCCAGCTGGGGTACTGTATGCAGTTCTGGTCGCCACACTATAGGAAGGATGTGATTATACTGGAGTAGAAGCAGAAGAGATTCACCAGGATGTTACATGGGATGGAGCATCTTAGCTATGAAGAGAGGCTGGATGAGCTCTGGTTGTTTTCTTTACAGCAGAGAAGTCTGAAAGGGGACCTGATAAAGTTGTGTCAGATGATGAGGGGCACAAACAGGGAGGATAGAAAGCAGATGTTTCCCTTTGTTGACGGATCACTATCAAGGGGGCATAATTTTAAGATGAAAGGCAGAAGATTTAGGGGGGATTTGAGGATTTATTTTCCACCCAGAAGGTGGTGAGAATCTGGATTTTACTGCCTGGGAGGGTAGTTGAGACGGGAAACTTCTCAACATTTAAAAAGCACTTGGATGAGCATTTGAAATGTCAATAGTAATCGCTGAAAAGTGGGATTAGTGTGGATTTAGAGTAGTATCTTGTTGGTGCAGCATCAATGGACTGAAGGGCCTCTCCTGTACTATATGATGCTATAATTTAAATAGGGTTAAAGTCTAAGAAAAGTGTAAAAAAAAACAACAACAGGTCTAAAGATGCTGTATCCAAATGCACAAGCATTTGCAAGAAGGCAGACAAATTAACAGTGCAAATGGTCATATACAGGTATGTTATGATTGTGATCACGGAAACATAGCTGTGGGGTGACCAAGGATGGGAATTGAACATTCAAGGGTATTCACAATATTTAACAGCTTTTCAGTGGTATTTTTAGTATTTGATCTTTAGCAATGGCAGGAAAATGGAAAACAAAGTGGGTGCCATTGTTAATAAAAAAAAATGAAAATCAGTGAGAAAGGATATTGGTGTCGGAAATCTAGATGTGGACACAGTCTGGATGGGGCTATAAGTAACAAAGGGTGGAAAATATTAGTGTGCTCGTTAGGCTGCCAAACAGTAACGGTGACATAGGGAATGGCATTAAACAAGAAATTAGAGATGCAGGCAACAAGGGTGCTACTGTAATTTATCATGAGTGACTTTAACCACATATCGGCTCAGCAAACCACATTACAATAATACAGTAACAGTTGAATTCCTGGACTGTGTACAAGATAGACTTTTAGACCAGCACACTGAGGAAGAAAGGGTCAAAGTGTACAAATTTTAAACATTTCAAAAAAAGATTGAGGAAAGCATTTCTGCACTTTTGAAATCAGTGACTTGGACGAGGCTTAGAATGTACAGTGTACAGTGTCACAAATATCAAAAATTTGGAAATATACTGAACTATGAAGAAGATAGTAATAAATTTCAAGAATATCTCGATAGGCTAGTGAAAGGAGAAGACATATTGATG